AATTTTGACCAATTTTTGACCAACTTAAAAGAATAGAAAGGTAAATTTGACCACCTTAAAAAAATCATCTTCTTCCTCATCTCACCCCCAACCCCCGCCCAACCTAAACTAACCTACAGAAGATTGAACCCCACCCACCTCACCCCACCCCACCCCTCCCAAAACCACTACCCAAATCCGTTGCCCAAAACCAGCAACGACGACACTAACTCCCGTCGACCAGCCACAGCCACAGAATCAACTACCACCACAACCATCAAACCTACACCAAAAACCCCATTCCATATTATGTAACAGTGAGCAACCACGACCAAAAACTAGAAATAAAATAAAACAAAATAAAATATTGCCAGATTTCATGGTTGCAGAAAATTCCAATTTGAACTCCGATTCAAGATTTGAAATAAAGTGTATTTATTGATAAGATTTAAAATCAATTGAAACTCCGATTCAAGATTTTCAACCATACTTCTCGTTTGTGAGTATTATTACAAATATTATCAGATTTGAAGGTTACAAAAAATTCCAATTTTCTCTGACTGACAGAATTGGAAAGAAAATTAGAGAGAATGTATTGTTATGGTTTAAAGTGGGGAGTGGGGTGTGTGGTATATAAGAAGTATGTGGGTTGATGATGTTGTTGAGAAAGAGACGATTCCATCTTCTGTAGGTTAGTTTAGGTTGGATGGGTGGGGGTGTCGGGGTGGGATGAGGAAGAAGATAATTTTTTATTTTTTATTTCTTCTCTCTTTTTTATTTTATTTTGTTTTATTTTTATTTCTAGTTTTTTAAATTATTTTATGTATATAATAGCAAATTTACCATTTTACCCATTTTAATTTGGTCAAAATTAGTCAAAATCCACCTTCCTTGGTCAACTAACGGTCAAACGGATGGACACCGTCCATTTGGACCCCAGGTACATATTTTTGAAAGGTTTGAGACTGTGGGTGGTACAAACTAAAGGTTTGGACGAAATCTGCTAATAAACGAAAGGTTTGATACCTCGACTGCAATTTTCCCTAAATTTAACAACAAATTTAGCTTGTGTGTAAATGCACGAGTTATTTTATAATTGGAATTGCATATCAATGACAACTTAGTCTCTTTTTAACAATGTCAAAATTTTGTTTCTTGAAAAAAAAAAAAAAAAAAAACACGATAAGTCACTATTTTTCACAAAAAAGGGACTTACGTTTTATTAAAGATTGTTGCATGTACATTCTATTAGGACAATAATTTTAATTATTTTGTCACTTTTATATTGGTTATCTTGTTCTCATTTACCTCTATAGCAGATGAATACGTTAATTTTATTCATATCTACAAAAAGAATATAATTGAAATAGTACGAAACGTTTAAAAAA